CTGGGCAACCTGTGCCAGTGCCTCACCACCCTCACAGGGAAGACTTTCTTCCTAAATTCTAATCTAAATTTCCCCTCTGTAAGCTTAAAGTCATCACTAAAGTCATTAGTCATCTCCTATCCTATCACTACTTGCACTACTTTATTATGTGGAAATTCAGCATTTAAGGACACATTTACTACATCACTTAACAGCTAAACTGAAAATGCATGTGCAAATGCTGCTATTCTTCCTCCTACTGCAAGTTATTACAAGCCTGTTGAAAAGAAAACTGGAAATACTCTAATAGAACATCTATATTTATTTCTGTGATCAAGCATTTATAGTCTGAAAGTACTGAAGATGAGGAACTTTTATCCTGTTAGGATAATAATCCATTTCTTTTTAAGGTTTGGTACCTTCTCCCAGTTGTCTAGCTTACTTGACAATTTAGCAGAAGTACACAGCTAATACACGCTAGGGAAAGACTCCTATTTTAACCAAGGTGAGAAACAGAGAGTGATGAGGGGAAAGTGACTTTTCTTAGATACTTAGGGACTTACAGATAGGATAAATGAAAGGGATGGCTTTCAACTTACTTAATGTTTGGCCCAAATTTATCTTTTCATCCAACATAAAGCTGAGAAATGCATTAGAGTTATTTTTAATATGCTTACTGGGGTTGCATATTCTGCTCTGTTTCAGCAGCAAACCAAATGTCAACGCTCTGAATCTCTGGAAAATCATGCTGAATGTCAGAAACAGTAAGATCTGTAACTCAGAAGCCTTGAACTTTTAGACCATAGCAGTCTTAATGCCTGGCAACTGTACACTGGGTTGTAACTTGGAAGAGGTCAGAAAAGCATGAACTGGGATTCCTTGTAGTGCAAGCAGTGAAGAAGCATGTCCCTAAGTGACAAATAAATCCATCCACATGCAGTCGTTACGAGCTGCCTCACAGAAAAGCTTGTACCTTCTGTAATGGAAGTCACAGGTCTAGCAATTTGAAATGTCAGCCACAGGAGATGGGAAAAGGATTTTTTTATTTTTGCTTTTAAACACCATCTGGAAACTACTGGAAGGAGAGCCACAAGGAAATGGCCACAAGAGCACCCACTGCAAGGACGAAGCTAGTGACATACTGACTTTATTAAATGGACTATACATGGCACCAAGGGGTTAGCATGAAATAGTAGACTAAAACCAGGTTGAGCCATCATTTTCTTTTGCCCCAAAAATGCAGTAATTCATCACTACACAGTGCAACAGAGTGAACATTTGATTTTCATGAAAGGGATCATCAGTTAAATTTGAAATATCAAACAAATTCCTACTTTGACTCAAAGAATAAACTTGTTTTTATCAGAGGGAGAGGGGATTCCCTTATTTAGATATAAAATACATCTGATTCTTCCCTATGTATGTACCAAAGGTTGAGAACAAGTTGGTCTAGCTGTGAAGTCAGCCCTGCTTGTAGTAGGAAGCTGAATGAAGTTGAATGAGGTGACTTCCAGAGGTCTTTCCAACCTACGGCCTTCTGCAGCTCCTGTCTTGTGGACTTCACACAGGCTTTTATGCCACTCCCACTGACTGTAATGCCAAATATCTCCTGAGTTCTACAGTGCACATTTAAGCCCTCAGAACCCATGGAACACTTAGCCAGGCAGATTGGCTTTGGCTTGTGACTTCATCGTGCTCCAAACTCTGGCATCCCGCATCAGCTCAGGGTTGTGGAGGGAGAAAGGGCTGGGGTTCAAGGTATTAGCAGATACCAGAATTCTAATGAACAGGGGGAGACTGTACTGACAAGAGTTCACTGATGTGACACCTTGGAAAGATTAACAGAAGCCACAGTTCTATAGCAAATGCTACAAAAGTATGACAGTCTACCTAGTCCAGTCAACATGCACTCCAGAAGGCAGGGTTCTCATAACCCAGGCAAGGTCAAGTCCTTCTCTCCCATTTGGGCTTTAAAATTCGACTTCTTCAAACATTGGCAGAATAGCTTGGGAAAAACTAAGCCTTCCAGGAAAATTACTGCCCATCTTCTGTGGTCCTTGAATAGGGCATAAACATGCAACTACGCCACCTGGAAACGTGTTTCTCAGATTTAAAGAGGCTTCTGTTTATTTCAGTGGAGACACTTAGAATCACAGAATCACAGAACAGTTAGGGTTGGAAAGGACCTTAAGATCATCTAGTTCCAACCCCCCTGCCATGGGCAGGGACACCTCACACTAAACCATCTCACCCAAGGCCTCATCCAATCTGGTCTTGAACACTGACAGGGATGGAGCATTCACAACCTCCCTGGGCAACCCATTCCAGTGCCTCACCACACTAACAGGAAAGAATTTCTTCCTTATATCAAATCTAAACTTCCCCTGTTTAAGTTTGAACCTGTTACCCCTTGTCCTGTCACTACAGTCCCTAATGAAGAGTCCCTCCCCAGCATCCCTATAGGCCCCCTTCAGATACTGGAAGGCTGCTATGAGGTCTCCACGCAGCCTTCTCTTCTCCAGGCTGAACAGCCCCAACTTTCTCAGCCTGTCTTCATACAGGGGGTGCTCCAGTCCCCTGATCATCCTCGTGGCCCTTCTCTGGACTTGTTCCAACAGTTCTATGTCCTTTTTATGTTGAGGACACCAGAACTGTACACAGTACTCCAGGTGAGAAAGCCTTTTAACAGGCAACTGATACTTCATTGTCTGTGTGACCTCTGAAGGACAGTGGGAGAATAACTGCTTCCATACAATGCAGGAAACAGCTCTCCCCAAATATAAAATCATCCTCCTGAGCATTTAAGTTTTCAACCAAGTGTTTATTTCTCAGAAGAGAGATACACAATCTTCTTTCTTTTAATGTCACAGTACTAGAAAAAAACTAAAAATACGCTTTTTCCTATGGCCAGTATGTATGAACTTCTCACTGTGCAAATACAGCAGAAGAAAAACAGTGGTTTTGCCACATACTACAAAAGCTCCCGAAATGTAATCAAATAAAATGAAAAGTCAACTTCAAATAATATTACTATTATTACTCAAATAGTAATAAAATATTTTTAAACTACTTCAGCATTCTTTGGTTTAGTCCTTTTGCATATATGTCCTGGTTGCTTATGCATAACAAATTGAAAGCCAATACTGGCTCCTCTTGTATTCCACCAAGGGAAACTTCCAAAGGTGAGCAGGCAGAACTGACATTTTAATTGCCTCAGAGGCAATTTACAGAAGCTATGTGAACGTGGGACTCTGTCACCTAGAAAACATGAAAACTGCACGCACATGTATACAGATCTACCTTGATTTATCTTGAAAACAGGGATGCATCTATGCTGCCAGAAGACCATAATATACACTATTTATGCAGACCAAAATAACGTACTGGAGCATAAATGCCATAGCACAGGAAAGCTGCAGAGAGAAGGAGCAGATAAATGCACAATACAGTATATTACCTCTCCTCAGTCCTTAGGCCACTCTGAGATGCTTTTTAGAGTCCACTATACGATGAAAGCAGCACATAAATTCCACAGGGATCAACAGCTGTTGCTCATTTCAATTTCCACTACAGAGATCACACTGCAGGCTCACTCAGTGCCTAAAGCCAGCTCTCAGCCTTTGGTTCATAATCATGAGTTTGTGCAAGACAGAAAACCCTCATACTCATTGCCTAGTGACAAGGAATGGCTAACAATCCCTCCATTCATTAAGAACATTAAACCTGCAGTAACTGTTCTGTCATTTTTCCCCTTAAACAAAAACTGATTATAGAAAACAAAAGTAAAGCTTGTCAGTTCTCCTTTAAGCCTATGCTCTTACATGAGATAATAGCTGTCCTTTTGCTGGATCCAGTTTCATTCTGATATTCTACAAACAGCAGTTTGGGGCAATTCTCTCTCACAGCTGTCCTTTAATGCTGAGCCCAGCTCTAGCCAGAAGCCAGTACAGACCCTCCCATATGGGCAGTAAGAATGTTTCTCATAGAAGAACCAAAATGCCTCCAAGCTGAGGAAATCAGTGATCCCACGGTTTTTGATGTGCCACTATCAGCATGGCAAGGAGTAGGTAAATGAAGACTCTGCACTAGGAACAGGCCACAGTCCTGCAATAACTGAAAATAAGACCCAACTTTTGTAGTAATGGTGGCACATTCAGCAAGACACCCCTCTTGGTTAGAGTTACATCGCAAGACTGGCACACTCTCTATTAATTTTAGATGGCATGTCCTTAAATCCTATAGTTCTTGATATTCCCTTTCTCCCAAGCTGCAGAAAGCTCTGTTGGATTCAATACAATGTACAGCAAGTATGAGAGAGGAGATAGAGAACCTCTGCACAAAGAACTGCACAAGCTGAGATTACAGGCACTTTTACCAAGTCTTTCAATTGAAGCGCTAACATATTAAGGCTCCACCTTCACTTTTCCCTTCTGAAAACTGAGAAATTTCTCAGAATTTCTTCTTCCCAATAACTATTCACAATCTAAAGGAAAAGGATGAATGATATAATATTTGGGATCTTTTTGCTTGAATCTAAAAGGAATCTTTGTGCCCAGACTGAAATCTGCATTTCTCTGTGGGACTTACCATTCATGCTGGGCTTTGCAGTTCTCTTCTTTCCCCTACCCAAAATGTTAGCATGACAAAAAAAGTCCCCAGATGCTTGGAAATACTCTTGAAAATGTAATTTTTTTTTGAAAGAAAATTCCTATTCATTATGACAAATTAACATAACTCATACTGAATTCTTACTATATGGAGATCATGCAGGTGCACACAAAATTGTCATTATAATAATTAAATACTCATGATTAAGATGGCAAGTGAGAAATTATTGCAGGATCAGAATCTGCAAATAGGTGTGCAGTTACCGAAATATACAATGCTAAGTATGATTTTTACTAAAAGTAACTAAAAGGACCAATGAGACTAATAATAATTTCAATGTAAGCAAAAATTATTTTTTTTTTGTAAGGTAATTCTTATTATCAGAAAAAAATAAGGGCAAATAAGTATTTTACCTGCCGAGGGGTCCTTTCTGATTTACTCCTGCACCATTCCCAGTCTGTGAGTTCAGGTTTACGGTTTTCCTCCTGTGACAGCCTCCTTTCTGGTCCTTCAGAGAAAGCTGATTGCTCAGTATTTTTGCCCTCTTCTCTGTCAAGGGTTCCCCACTTGTCAGGAAGGAGGAGGTTGGTGCCCCGATCCTTGCTGGACTCCTGCCTGGCCACTGGTCCTGGTGGGACATCCTGGGAGCATTCCGCCAGGGCCAGGATGCTGAATGCTGCTGTCCCACAGTGGGGAAGTTCAGTGCTTCTACTCCCAGGTTCTTTAGAGTTATTGCTGTCATCACTCATGAGGTTGTGACAGGATGTAGACTGATCATCCCCACTGTGGTGGTGGTGGTAATTTTCATGGGAGATTTTGTAGATTCCATAAACTTGCTGGAATGACAGGTTGAACTCGAAACCTCTACGTTTGGCTAAGCAGAAAAGGAAGAAATGTCATATTAAAGAGTCAAAACCAAGGAAAAAAATGAGATTACATACAGAATGAAAATTACATTCTAAAACATGGAATATATTATTCAATTACTGCTTGAAACAGAGGACTTTCTATTCATAAAAAATTTTTTAATATTCTCCATTCTAAATTCAATGCTCCAACTAATCTTTCACAGTAATTGAAAAATTCAATAAAAATTCTCTATCAATGTTTATACTCTTTCATTCTGCCTCTGGTGATCACAAATCACCTGAGTTCTTTCCTTCTCCCCCTTTTCATCTTACTTTATGTAGTAAGTGAAAGTGCCTATTAGTTAATTAATAAAATAATATTCCCACCAAAAATTTCATGCTAAATTATAAAATAAAAGGTATGAGGATACATTTATACAACCTCTACTTAACATTGTGTGCCTAAGAGATCATAAATAATTATGGGTTAAATTCTGACCTTAGCAGTCCCTGCATTAAAAGTTGAGAATAGCCTTCAGCACAAGTATCTACAAGTCACAATTTTAAATAATTTTATAATTGTTACTTTTCTGTCTGTTGTACATTTATCTCTCTTTTAGAGAGATAAACTGCAGTCATCCCCTCCAGTAAAGCAGTTAAAATGGCATCAGACGCAGCACAAGCCATTCTGCGATAAAATAATATGTCCAAAGCAAGTGGAAGTCTTGAAAGAGAATGGCTTTTCTCTAGGACTCAGTAGCTTTCCTTCTCCCTAAACATGCAGTGAATGTCAGGGATTCATCTACCAATGTTAGAAAACTTGCACTCCAGAGAATGGGAAACAACACCCAGATCCTCAGGGGCATTTAGCTCTTCACTCTTGCAGTTGGACTAGATGATTCTTGTAGGTCGCTGCCAACTGACTATTCTGTTCCTCCAGCAGGTTTTACAAGGAGGCCCAGATGAAAACAGGGCTTTAGAAGATTCCAAAGTTACCAGTGAAGGTCTGATATCCTCTCCTACACCAAGGTAAACTTTGTCAAGTTTTCTGTCCTGGGTTCAGCAGTAGCAGTCATTTTTTCTCCTTCTTAGTAGCTGGTGCAGTGCTGCAGTTTTGACTTTCAGCCTGGGAACAGCGCTGTAACACCGATGTTTTTAGTTACTGCTCACATGTTTAGTCTGGCCAAGGACCTTCTGAGTCTCATGCTCTGCCAGGGAGGAGGGGAAGGTGGGAGGAAGCAGAGACAGGACACCTGACCCAAACTAGCCAAAGAGGTATTCCATACCACAGCATGTCTTGCTCAGGATGTAGAACTGGAGGCAGTTACCCGGAAGGGCTACATCACTGCTCAGTCAGGCTGGGTATCGGTCAGCGGGTGGAGAGCGGTTGTATTCTCTTCCCTTGTTATTTCCCTTATCATTATTATTATTGGTGGTAGCAGCAGTGATTTGTATTATGCCTTAGTTACTGGACTGTTCTTATCTCAACCCATGGGAGTTACATTCTTTCGATTTGCCTTCCCATCCCTGGGGGGGGGGGGAAGGGGGGAAGTGAGACAGAGACTGCATGGTCTGATTTACGGCTGGGCTTAAACCATGACAAACATGGACAGAAATATTTTTTGGCAAAAACAGTGTTGAAGTTCCTCAACTTTCAATAAGCAGCATAAACATGCTGATATATAGGCCCCTGTCATAAATCGTGTCCTTTGCCATTTGATTATTTATGTTGCTGGGACTTCTGATTAGTACAAGCAATAGCTCCTCTCCTTAGAATCTGCTTGCAATAAGCATGTTTTTTTTACCCCACCACATTAAACATGCTTAGCATGTTCCATGTATTTGATTAGCGAAGTCACAATTTGGTAGAGACATCTTTCCCAATGTAGGCGAGGAGAGCAACGCTAGGATTCAGAGTCCATCAGACTCTGCTAGAAGACCTGGCAGTGAAATGGGAAAATCAGCCAAGCTTCTGTGCCTCAGCATCTACCATTTCCATCCAACTGCCTCACATTAATGTCTCATACAATGTTATGAATAATATCTATATAATTCAGGTAAATGATTTTAAGGAGTACAAAGTCCTGCTACGGACACTAACTTCCTATTCTCTTTACTACAACAAGATAAATCCCAGCGGCATGTCACCCTTCTGTACTTACTTTTGAATTCTTCTGAAGACACTGCATAAGAATTCCTCCTGCAATTAATGATGCAGCCACAGGGCAGGTGGATCCAGTGTTCTGACATGGCGAACACTGGGGTGACTGTGGCAGCCAGCAGAGTCAGCAGGAAACTAAGCGTCTCAAACGAAAGGCTCTGGAAACCAGTGATGTGCTGGACAACCATTTGTATCTGAAAGAGAAAGCATTTTGAAATCTAAATTGCTTTAGGCACATTAGGTACTTCCAGGAATAAACAGAACATCACACTAGGAATATGACACAACTAAAAGACATCGGTTGTCATTAGTGTTTGTTGAGCCTAATAATTTGGTTTCTAATGAAGAGTGGAGAAAACACACTGACAGAGGCTCTCCTCCTCATTCTGCATTTCTCAGAAAAACCCTTACTTAAGTTAAATATTGATGCTTGGCACTATTAAAAAGCAACACACAATCAGACACTGCTAGCTCAGTCTCTCCTGTGTGCTACTGAGGAACCCTAACTTCTGACGGGGAACAGGAGAGATAACTTAGCACCACACAGCGCTGTGTGGCAGATGCTCCATAACGCTTCTCTTTCCCTTGAGAGACACTCGGATGCTGAGTTTGTACACATCCCAGAGACAGGGGTAAAACTCATTTTCTGTGTTCAAAACAGACTTCAGTTACACATGAATGTACCTATTCCCAAATATACCAGTGCATGCACATGGACAGAACTTCCCCTTTCCTCCCCCCATGCTACAGAGATTCAAAAGATGCAAGCAAAGGTCACTTTTCTAACAAACTCCTATTTTTTTAACCAGTCTGGCAAAGAATGTGACTCACAGCTGTGATGAGGGACAGAAGAGCTACCTTAGTACAATTCACAGATCCCAGGATGATGAACTCTTGTCAGACAGCTGGCAGTACAAAAGGGTGGATCTTATTCATCCCTTTATTCAGGTGATACAAATGATTTAGTGATAGGGTAACGTAATGCTGAATCAGGCTCTGCCAAACCCGCTGAAAGCCAGTTAAATCCACATAGTGACAAAGACCTGCTTAATAAGACTTTTGCTGGCACAGACTATGATGAGCAACTGCAATGGCTACTGTTCATCTGTTTCAGTACACAGCACACCAACTCACACCCCATTTAAATGTAAGTAAACACTAGAAAGAAAAGCAATCTGACAAGTTACCATCATTGGAAGCCAGAGGATGACTTTTGTCAATGCAAGAATCAGTGAGAATCGTTTCTGGGCAAAGCCCACCATGAAGCTCCTGCTCTGTATGCTGCTCATGCAGTGGTGCTCAAGCGCACTGCTTCCAGCCACACCTTTTCTAAAAACTGCCTCCGAGACTGGACATGTGTTTTGGAAATGCTTCAGATCTGTATCCACAGGGTCCACTGGTGACAGAGATGGAATAGCAGTACCGCAGCCTGCAGGTGTCCCAGGGGTGATATAGCCTCCAGAGACTTCCTGGTAATCACCGTGTAATAGCTGTTGCTCATCTGAGCACAACAGCTGGTAAGTTAGAGGAACAGACAGCACTGTGAGGAGGCAAAAGCACAGTGAGTAGACAATAAATAAAAACAAGATGAAGGAACTGGCACAGTCAGTGAAGCAGCCCCAGGAGGTAGGGATGTACTTGCCCCAACCACAAAGAGGCAAAATGCAGATAAGCAAACTGACAATCCAAATGGTAAGAATGGCCCATACCATGTTCACTCGTTGCTTGGAAGTGCTGCAGCTCATTGTCTCAGTTTTGCTGATGGTGTAAAAGTTGTAAGAAACTATAAGAGATCCTTTCAGGTTGCTAGAAATGCCCTGGAATAAATATATAAGAGCTGAGGTGGTGCACAGAGGCTGGGGGAGGACATCACTTGACCACTGGGTGAGCATGAAAATAATCACTGGCACAATGCTGATCAAATCATCTATTGACAAAGAGGTCACAATCATTGAAACCGTGGTTCTGGTTTGTATTTTCAGCAGGGAAACTAGTGAATAAATACTGCCCAGAAGTGCTGTGAATGCAATGATAAAAGTCAAGCAGAATAGAAAAACATTCCAAGTTCTCTGCTCGTGAGGCTTATCCATAACACTATGATTTTCAGTGAAGGAGCTCATCCCACTAAGTGACAAATTACTGGGTGTTACCGACATTGTCCTTGGCAAATCTTTTTCTCTGCCTTCTCACCGACTCTCCAAGTTTTTGCTAGCTGAAATCAAGACTGTTAGCTCCACACAGCAAGTCTCTTTGTTTCACAAGTTTCTTTGTTTTCCTACACCCTCTTTCATGGCATCTGATGAAGAAATATTCAGGTGAAAGCACCCTTGATAACCAGAACAACTCATGTTCTTGAAAAACCAGGCAACAATGAAGTATCAAAGGTGCTGGGGAGGAAAAAAAAAAAAAAAGCAATTCTTAAAAATCCTTTCAGTACTGGAAGATGGTTAATTCAGGTTCTTCAGGTAATAACATGCCATTCGGTTTTGACAGGTATCAAGCACGGTGCCTTACTCACGAGTTCAGTTGAAATGAAGGCAGAACATCAGGTATGTTCAAGCTCTAGTAGCTCAGGGAGAAACAGTTGCTGGATTCACCCTCTGCTTCTCTGAGCTGCAGGAGGGAGGAGTCAGATGCAAGCAGGATAGCACAGCCAAGGGGAATGAGTATCTTCTAGGAGGGAACTGCCTCAGCTGGATCAGAAGACTGAAACAGTGCCCCTGCTAAGCCACACCTCCAGGGCTGACACTGAAATCCAATGTAAACACTCAGATCTGATGTCAGCAGTAAATGTCATTCCCGTAAAGCCCACGACGGCTGCTCCAGGGCTGTGTATCACTACCAAGAGAGCTGCTTTTATTCTTTTGCACTTCTGCACTACAAGCTTAGCAAGGGGAAAAGCCGCAACAGCCTTTTATGATGATGAAGCAGAAGTGGTGTGTCTGCTCTGTGTTTTTGTATTCCTACTCCCACTGTGTGTGGATGTGCATACACTGCACACGGATGCTGTGTAGTTACTTACTGACAAGCGTTCATTAATGACAGGTACCTGCCATGCACGTTAGCCAGGTGGTGCCTGTCTCTGTGGTATCTCAGCTCAGTCTGGGGTTTATAAAACTTTAATTCTCCGCATGATTCAAATGCTGTCTGCTTTAGTTAAACATAGGAACAGAATCACAGACAAGTGCATTCTGGTACATTATGGATGTTTTTTTCTCCGGAGGAAGTGCAATACTGGTGAAACTTACGAGGTGACAAAATTTCCCACACCCAGATGTTAAGTGGACAGGTAAGTGCAATGCAATTCTCTTGGACTCTGCTTCCCCTTTCTTTTTGGCACCACTTTGAGTTCAAATACACAATGGTGCTGAAGGACAAATATTTTCTGATTAAGGGTAATACTGTAAGGCTGCTGCAATTACTTTCTATCTGAGTAACATTACAAATCCAGTCAGATAGAAATCTGTGTAATTAACAACCCGATCTTTGCTCAGTTCTTCCCACTTTGAAATGCGTCAGCTGCGTCAAGCCAAGAGCTGGACTGCCTGGGTGTCTTCCCTCCTGACTGTGCAGGGCAGAGTTGGAGGCAGAGACTTTCAGAGGTGCTGGAGTCCCAAATGGAACAGGCAGTTGAAGACAATGCATGGCTGCAGCTATATTGTGTGACAAGAGCCCACGATACAATGATCAGAGCTAACAGCAATGACAACTTACATGAATAACCCCTCCTTTATTTCTCATCTCCAAGCTGCCTTGCCATGGCACCAGAAAGGCTTATGCCCCAAACAAGGCTGGCTCCCCCAGTCAACCCTACATGCCCTGTAGAGCCACAGAACTGTCTTCAGTGCAGGACCTGTTGATAAGCCATGCTCCTCCTTTTCAGCCTGACCAGGAGCCTTTGCCTCTCCATTCTCCCTTTCACATCACAGCTGTCTCCCTTCTGAGGATTCTTCATTATTTCTCAGGACCAACTGCCAATCCTCATGTTAGAAATTTGCAAGAGGAGCATCCATCCTGCCCTCCACATAAGGCACAGTCATGGATCTGGCCTTTAACTGTACAGGATTTAACTTGGCTTTCATGATTTATCTGGTCTGTTGTACTACTGACTGTTGATCTGTTCTGTGCCAGCTAAAGGCCAGGGCTCATTTCCTTCTATTCACAAATCACAGTCACCTCTGCACCTGCCGGTCAACTTTAAAATAAGAACAGTGCTCTAAATATTAGATTAACAGTGTGAGTCTCATCAGAAGTACAGTCGAGAGGTAAGAAGAGAAAGAAGAATAATTTACCTTTGTTTGGTAAATATTTTAGCCTGGTTCCCTCACGAAACACATGAGAATGCTGCCTGAGTGTGGATATATGCATGTAGATGATCCTCTCTTCCTCACTTTCCATCCCTCAATTTCTTTTGACAAAATGATCATTTTCATCTCTATCTGAAGGTCTCAAAGCTATGAAGTTCCCACAAGCTTTATGAAAATCAGCAGCTGATCAGAGGAGACAGGTCACAGCAGGCTGCAGCAGAGTTCCCTCTTCACCAGAAACTAGTGAATACAAAGCCGAGGCTTTATAAATACTCCATAATGAAAGCTTCAGCTGAAATTTCAATTAATCCAAATGCTAAGCTGCAGGAAACCAGCTTTCTTCACTCTGGCATATCTTAGTGCTTCCTGACACGTGATCAGTTATTTTCATTCTTAAATCCCCTGTTTCCATTGCCTGTGTCATCTTCATTTGCTCTTGCAACATTACTGTTGGGTGCTTAGAAACAATTTTAATGATGTTTGGGAAATTATTTTCCCTACTTTGGAAAATTTTTCTCCTGCATGCTGAGTCATTATGTATCCTTAGTCCTGTATCCTGAGTCACCGGATGTCCAATAGCCCTGACAGCAGATATCAACAACAAATTCTCTGAAAATCCCCTAGCACAATCCTCTTCACATACTTTACTGCCCTTGCTTTGTTGGCTGTGCCTCCATATTTCTCTGTAGCTTTTTGGACACTTTGTTAAAAGGAGTCCATTCTGTGCCTTGCATTTGTATTTGGAATGAAATGTTCATGAGTGACGTTAAGAAGAAAGTAACTTTTATTTATAGCCATACCCATCCAAGGCAAATAATGTATTATTCACTTCAGTTTATCTTCCCACAGAATGTATTTTATCATATGAACTACACCTTGCCAATCTCTGTGGCAGTTTTTACCAAAACTTACAATATGGTGAAATATTCCTTCCTCTGGTCATTTCATAGTTAAAGACTGAAGATCTCAGGGGGGATGAATTCAAGCTTCCCTTATTATTTATCTTTCTTTAACGTGATTGATGAGTTCCAATAAAATATATACAGAAAGATCAGTTTCATCTTAAAACTAAAGAGACAATCTGGTTGTAGTAAGAAACATGCAACTCTACAGAGGAGTACGATTTTCCATGCAGCTGTGCCTCCAGCTGACTAACATTCACTAAGATCTAAGCTCCAAAACTTCTCTTGTGGCTGGGGCAAATGAATCTGAATTATACTCGCTGAACTCTTCTGAAGGATGAGTTTATTCTGCACTCTTTCAAAACTTACAGGAACAGTATCTTTTCAACCGTAATTTCACTCCCAATTTCCCTGAAATTATTCGTGAACAGGCTCAACTAGGTCTGAGGGTGGCAAGGACAGGCACATGAGCAGAGAGGTAGGCAGTGTTATCACAACCTGCCTTCTCTCAAATTTTCTGAAGAAATAGTGCTAGAATGGAATAATACAGCACTGCCAAAAAGCCACATGTAATGACCTTGCAGAAACCAAGAGAAAAGAAAATGAAATTTCAGTCTGATGCTGTCTCCTGGTTTGGACTGTGTCAAGGCAGGCCTGAATTCATAGATTAAGATCCTTACTATTCCCTTTCTTCTCTGCTTTTAGCTTCTTTAATTATGGGAGGTTCCTAATAAATACTAATGTTTGCAATACAGGCATATATTCCTTATTCTAGTGTGAATTCTGTTTACTAAGGAATGACCACAAAGAGAAAATACATTAGGCATAGAAATCTCTCTGGCCTCAATTCAAACAGCACTGCACAATGATGTCTCATTAAAGAAAGAGTCAGCACTACTCGACAGGCTATGAAAGTCCTTCTAAGACACACACTGCATGTAACAATTCAGAAATGCTTGTAAAGAGTATCAAATATTCACCTTCATAAAATACAACCAATAAATGGAGTATTAAAGATTTATTCTTTTTAGGGTATGGGTCACATTTTATTTTTGTATCTTGCACTAAGCTAAGCTTTGAGTTATGTATTTGATTCCTTTTGTCACTCTAGAGACAAGGTTATTACAGCAGCTGTACAAATATTTCATTTCAGAAGGCAATATAACCACTGTGCCAGGCAGAAATGCATATATATAAAATTCCATTAATGTCTTCACAATTTATTCCTCAAAAGCATGTGAAAGAAAATGTTTTAGTTTTTTCTAGATTTTTTTTTTAACAGGTTTTTAAAAAGATGTCTAATGATAATTTTTGGTCTGTCGGGCTCAGATATCACTTTCAGATAGAACATGGTTAAACTGCAGCTAATTATTTCATCTAGTTGTTTGCCTGAGATGAATTAAATCAAGGGTGGCTTCTAATAAAAGGCAGATACTCTTATATTTAATCCATTTCCGCTGCAGCTGTATTGCTGTGCTGTAGGAAAAGGGTGCTTACTGATTTGGAGCAATTAGACAAATGTAAATTAGGAGTAATTCCATTAAACCTAAAAATATGATTTAACTTATGTGCTCATTATGGGCTGGACCGCACCAGCTCTAACTCAAGCAAAAGAAATCTTGCTGTGCAGATGCTCCCTTTGAAACCAATGGGTTACTATTACTTGCAGTGTGTCCCTCTGTGAGGTAACACCTCTCTGTGCAGATTGCCTGGTATTAAGCAGTGCCCATTATCAGAGCTTCCTAACTTCAGGTTTTTGCTTCCATGCTGTAAATACAGACAGGAAATTGAGACTGCAATGAACTGAATGGTTTTGGAGAATTACAGAATTAATGATAGACAAATGGAGCTAAAAGTAAGCTCCAAAGTATCCGTGGGTGATGTATAATCATAGTGTGCCTCTTTCCACAAGGCTTTCAGAAGCCCATAAAGAGCATACTGATGGGAAAAGAAAACAGTGTCAGCCCTGCAGTGAGGCTGGCAATAAACAACATGGCTGGGAGAAGAGAATACATCTGTCTGGGCTGTGCTGTGTGCATGCTAACCAGAGATGACTATGTGCTGTTATTCTAGAAATGACCAAAGTGAGACCAAACAGAAGACAAACCATCAATTATAAAATAATAATTTTGGGATGGCAATGCCAAAAGGGAAGAGATACTAAGCATGCAGTGTGTACAAAGAGAAGAAAGGGACAGTGCTAGTCAGGAAGATGTTATTTTCTCTACCAGATAGCAAGGCAGAGAGATGGTAGCAAAATGTGCAGCTACCAAAGTGGAGAGAAGCTCAGTTCTAGATAATATGGAGAGTAAGACATTCTGCTAGGTGTAGCGTAATTGCTCTCTTGAGACAAGACACTCCACAATGTTACTTCTATTAAGCAGCCACTGGCTCACCAAATTGCTAGGAGGAGACGGACAGCAAGCAAGGAGGCAAGTCTTCAGTACACCTCTTCACAGTAACTGCTCTCTAATAGACAGCAAAGTGGGCTGTGGACATAATTCATGGAACAGCACGCTATGAATGCTTTTAATTTTGCTGTGCAGCTCTACTAGCAGTAGAACACTCGTAATGCAGCTGTATTAGGGTGATCATACCTAATCACTGAACAAATACAGTAAGCGTAACATTGTGCTCAGTAATCACTCCTATTTTAGATGCTGCAAAATGTGTGTAACATACTGGAGAGAAATAAATGTTGTGCAATCCAGCAGGAGCTGGACAGCA